ATGGTGTGCACCAAGGGTTAAATGGGTTTTTGACCTCGTGTGGTTGCAATAGTCGGTTTAAAAAAGTCCACTTTACTCCCTTGGTACACAATATACTATTACAATAGAATTTGTGGATTAATTGTTAATTGATTGTAGATTATTAACGATAATTAACATGTATGAACAAATATTACTGTCAACGAATAACTACTAGTTTGACGAACGTTTCACTGACACTGACATTGCGCGTGGACTGTACGTCAATAACGTATAAATTGTCAATCAATAACATGCCCCTGTCTTCTAACTATCATTCCATTTCAATACATGTAAGCGATTAGATACGGAATATACGCACACGCGAATAATTTACACTATTAGTAGCAAGTTTATCATTAGCAACATGTTTGTGTTATGTATGGTACGTGTGTACAAAGAAGTAATTGTTCTCAACATTCGTGTGATGTTTAATATTAATTTGCTAGCAGACACGTTTTTATATCGTTGTACAGCAACAGTGTACTCGCGTAGAACCTTCAAGTTTTGTTTAGGTCTGATCGAAGTCCACTGAATATTATATGAACTCTTTCACCACCCACAATATGCACGTTCCTTATGTTTTTTTTGGCCCGATTTCCGACAACGCAGCATGCGCATCATATAAAAAAATTCACAAATTCTGTTGACGACGAAAACAACAATTTTTCACAAAAGTTGGATACAACCGTAAACAAGTGGTTCTCTTGGCATCGCGTAAGTTTCCGCGGAATTTACTTTCCTTCCTTTTTGGTTGTTCAGGAGAAAACATTTTGAAGTTATAGTTCCATTGTGGTACACACGTAGAAGTTATTAAAGGGACGCGGTAAATCCTGGTGACTAGCCTCGGGAAACTTGAGCTAAGTTCTCCGGAACTTGTCAAATGTTTATGCAATTTTAACACGATTAATCTTGGCTCTGTCCAATTATATCACGGTCTGAACTTCCTTTACCTCGTTAATCGAGTTGTAACAGTGATCTTAAAATTAGTGTTAAGCCGCTAAGCTTGTCAACTCTGTTGCCACTTCTAATCATGCTCTTCTTAGCACTCACTGCTGGAGAACTTCAGGGTAT